TCAACTCAAACGGGCGACGGGTTGGCGGCTGGAGCTCCGGCGGGGTACCGCTTGCCCCCTTCCGCTGGGCGTCCTGGACAAGGAAGACAGCGTTGGTGTGTTGTTGGACAGGGGATCCAGTAGGGCTTATCCTCACGGCGGAGCCACTTACGAAGTTAAGGAAAGGTCTCACTATTAAAGCAAGGGAGGAGCGGGGAAGTCTTGGCCACCCATCCGCGAGGATGATATAATTTTTTCAGATTTATGGATACCAGATCAGTTGGATTATTTGAAACAGACTGAAAGCATATATGCATTACTGTTTATTGCTGGCTAAAGTCCTTACTGAGACCTGTGCAGAGTGCATCCAGCTGTTAAATGATAATTGGCTTGCTCTGCATCTAGCATTTATTGAGTGATAATTTATGGAAATTTGGATGGGTACCCTGGTACCTGGTGCCTTCAGATGATTGGATTTCAGTTCCCATAGTCCCCAAGAATGCTGCCTGGCACCAGACTGAGAAAGAACATAATATTATAATGAAAAATAAAATGCCCCATAGCTGAATAAGTGCATTTTCTCCCTAGATATTTTTTTTACTTTGTAACGATACTCCTACTGTCATAAGGGCCTTCAAGTTGTGTGATGAGTTTATATGAAAGGTAGATGTTTTGGAGGTTGGAGGGCATATGATGAATATGCAGTTGGTTAAGTGATCCATGAAAAATTAGTTGAATGTATTGAGTATGTATCAGACAAAAAAAAAATCAATAGCTTGAAATATTCCTAATTCTAGCTTGTTACCAGGAGAGCCTATGTTCAGCTAACAGCCTGGTATACTAGCTATGACTTTACCTGGACCAAGACATGCTGGCCTCAGTGACCCATTTCCTATTAATTCTTTTTAACTGCTCTAGGATACAGGTACAAAAGATTGTTCTCTCAACACCATTAAACTAATGCATTAAATTAAGCTGGAATGGCTTTGTTCGTGGTGCCACCTGAAGGTTTTTTTCTCTAGTGTGGTGGCCAGGTATAGAGCCTTCTCAGGAACAACTGCCCATTTATGAAATTTTCTCCAAGAGAAGGTTAGCTAATCCATACATTATAAACTAACTCTTTACTGATGTATTTATGGGATAACAGGTACTTCATAGCCAGACTGCTTAAAGCTTTTCTATTGCTTTTTTTTTTTTTTAAAGAACTTGTTTTTAATTGTTTGTATTGTTATTAAATATTGTTTTTTCTATTGTGATCATTTTATTGAAGGCATTCTTGGCCTACTATTATAAACCACTGTGGGATCCTCTGAGAGGAAAAGCAGCACAGAAATAAACAAATATTGTTGTAAATTTTTACTATAATTTTGTTTGATTGATGTGAGCTGCCCAGAGTCAATGAGAGTCAGGTGGCATACAAGTTTAGATGATGATGATGATGATTGGTTGCACAGTCAGCCAGATGTTTAGACTGGATTTGGCATTTTTATCCACCTACCAAGTCCTTCCAAAGGACCTGGGATAGGCAGATGCTGTTGTTTGATGGTGCTAAAGGTATTGTCGCAGGATACAAGCTGTTCCAAGTAAAGCTGCTTTTTGCAATTGACTGATGGTGATTTTGTGAATGCCGATGGTGTTCAAGTGGTGCTCCAGATGTTTTGGGATTGCACCTGACACATTATTATTATTATTTTTCCACTTGAACCTAATAGCATAAACATTCACTGGTAACCTCTTTTTTCTGTCATGTCCTTGGGATGTTGCCTTCATCTGCTATCCAACCAACCCCTGAGACCACCTTAGCTGTTCTGATTTAAAGGAGTGTTTTCCCACTTAAGTAGGTAACAAGCCACTGCAGCTTTACTATGATGATGCATTTCACCAACCATTCTCCCAGGTTACCTCAAGGGGTGAGATCAGTCTGGTATCTACTGGCTCCTTTAGACTAATGCAGGGATATCTTCTCCATGACCATTCTGCTTTGGCTAGGTTCTGCCTAATTGTGTTCTCTCCCTTGATCCATTAACTCTCCTAGCCAATTCCAGCTTGTAGACCTGGATCAGGCCGATGAGCAGCCAACCAGCACTGCACAATAAAGCAGGAGAGAGAGATGGTTTTTTGTCTACCACTTCACAGTATAACCCCCATGCAGATGTCAACTGTTGTCTAGCACTTCCTATTCTTCCTGCTCTCCCAGCATGAGAATTAACTGCTAGGAGCTTGTACAAAATGTGGATTGAGATTTGATAGGTGGCTAAACCCACAGGTCTAAACATTTGTCAAAACCTGTTTCCTCCTCAGCCTCATTCTTTGTTAAGACGACTGCTGGGTGGTATTTCCTACCAGCTGGTGATGCCTATTGAATGGGAAAACCTGTTAATCCCTTTCCCTGTTGTGTCCTGCACATAGTATATAAGGACACCTCCATTTGGGGCAACTTTTCGGTGGTAGGATAGGGAGCAGCAACAGGAGCAGCAAATTTTATGCCAGTATAAGGCATAACTTATACTGAAGGACTGATAGATATCTCTTTAATTGAGAGGTAGGGAAGAGTTCTTGTGTCTGTATATTTACATTCTATGATGTAACAGACCCTGATTTATTCCTTTACTTAATTATTGACCTGGAGAGAAAGTTAGGGATTGTAACATCACAGATTAACCACACAGAGGCACCATTTAGCTATACAGTTTGGTGTTTCTGGCCTTTCACATCCCCTTATTTCTTTTTCTCCTTGAGGAGGAGGAACCTATGCTTTGGACTGAAGCACCCACAAGCCCCAGCCAGCATGGCCAATAATCTGAAAGGATGCATCCTATAAACTGGAGGGTCACGAGTTTCTCACTCCTACTTAAAATAGATATATTTCACTTTTCATTCATAATTCACAATGCCTTGGTAACTTTTAAAACCAATCAAAACAAAAACTAAAGCCATCAGGAGATTTAAAACAACACCAGGAAAAGTTTTACTCTTGTTTTTAATGGAAGCATAGCTTGGATGATACAGCCTGTATGTATTGCCACCTCCCTGCCCCTCCACAAAACTCCTAAGCTCTTGATGATAAAGTTAGATAGAGTGATGTGTTAATGCCTACAAGTTTTTAATATTTACTGAACATATTGTTCAAACACAGACTTGGGTGTTTCTTCTATTGGGTAATGGCGAGAGGGCAAATCCCTTACTCAGCCCCAAACAGCAGCAGAAAGGGGAACTCCACAGATGGGAAAATATTGCAACTTTAAATATTTGTAATGGGCAGGATCTATACTGGAGCCCTTTTAGTTTCTGAAGCACCACTTCAATTTTCCAGTGTTTTTCCCAGTGCAGCTTACCAGGCACATATATTAATGCAAGCACTCTGTGCTTTGTTCATAACATTAAAAGTGTCACGTGCATGGAGTTTTTCCTACATCTGATTTTCAATAGCACCTAACTAACTGAGCAACCACATTTTATCCCTGCTCCACAATGCTGCCCCAATCTTCTTCCCAGCCTTTGACATCAATGCCTTTATTCCACTGTTCTCTCAGGGAGGCATCAATAGATTTCCTTGCCTTGATGACACTGATGTGAAAAGGATAGCTGTATCTTTGGGCAGACTTACCTGACAGGAGAGTCAGGCAGGGTATCTGTCTGCTGTTAAGACATTATACCAGTGTTTCTCAATCTCAGCAACTTTAAGATGTGTGGACTTCAACTCCCAGAATTCCCCAGCCACCATACTG